AATCTTCATACATAATATATATAAAATTATGTTTACATTTGAATATTAAATTGACAATAATTATATAAATATTAAAATAACATAATATAATATTTAATTTTAAATAATTTTACAATATTTCTATATTATCAAATATATAACTTAGATTATGCATGTACACAATATTTATTGTTTATTAATACATAATTGGATTTTCCTAAACAGATATGAAAAGCGATTAAGTATTATGNCCAAACTGCATTCTCCTAATAAAATCAATTAAAATTTCACTAATTGATTCAGTGATATCACTGATTTGCAGTGAAAAAATGCCTCTCTTAAAGTTAGGTGTCAGTAACAAATTAGTTTTACTAAGAAACAGTTAAAACTTCGCTGATTTACTTAGTAACAAATAGTTTTATTTAAAATTAGTAACAATATCACTGAATGCCATTAACATATTAGTTTTAAAGTAATTGATTGTGAAAGTTTCAATGGCTAAATTGATAGAGTGCCCACTTGGTAATCAGAGGGTTACAGGTTCGAATCCAGTCAAGATGATTTTTAACACAATGGATTTTTTCTACAAGGTAATACTAAGACAACATAGAGAATAACCAAGAAAACTTACTCAATAATATAAATAAAGAATCTAAGTCATTTTTTTATATTATAAATGTACTTTTGCTATCAAATCGTGTTGCGCAGATCTTGCTTTATATTTGGCGTCAATTTGGTCTCAAGTTATGTTATCAAGCTTTGCTCGGTTTTTGGTAGCAATTTGCTATTACTTTTTGTCGACAAGCTTTGGCAACAAAATCGAAGCCTAATGCGGACACAGTTGATGCCAATTTGCTAAGTATTTGTGCTTAAAATTGCTGATAATTTGCTGGCAAATTGCAAACAAATTGTTTACTGGGTACAGTTTGTAGTATGATAATAGAATGTATACATATACATATGTACTAAATCAGTATGAAATTATATATGACATATATACAAGGTACCCAAAATAGCTGTATCTAGTAGCAAAAAACTTTTTGACTCAGTATAACCTTCCTTATCTCCTATACATTGGTACTATTATCAAAGCTTGTATTTATACGACGTATATAGTTCCTTGCACAATGCAAAGGAATAGCGATAGCAATGGAAATAACACCGGCTTTATAGGGATTATTTCTATAAATAACAGTAGGAACAGCGGAATCTAACATTTAGAAATACACATGTATTACTGCAGATCGGAAATAGGCTATAGCTTATAAAAAATTTCCGACGAGTTGAAATTCTTTGTCTATCGCCTATCGCTATTCCCTCGCATTGTGCAAGGGGCTTATAATTGTTTCACTACTCATACTACTAATAAATATTTGCAAATGTACGATAGTAAAGGGCCAGCGAGAAAATTTGACAAACGCAAATAACAATTCTTACTTAAGCGAAATTGATTTAAGCAAGAATCTAAGCAATTGACTTAAGCAAGAATCTGCTGTAACGTAATAGAACAATCTTAAACTGTATGCATGATTATGATCATTACGAGATATTCTAACCTGAACTTGAACACTATTAACTCTAACGCTCAATAATTCGCTTCGCGAAAGCAACACGTTTTTCTATCAGATTCTTTTATTTTGTATCAAAATATGTCGAATAAGTGTATCATAATTGTATCATAATTTATCATAAAATCAATTGTTAATTTACAATTAAAAAACATCAAAATAATAAGAATTGCATTACCTGGTATGGCATAATCTCTTATTTGTATCATATTTTGAATAGGTAATAAGTGTCTTGATAACTGAGAAAGTCGACAAATCACAAGCAGATTCATTTTTTTATGAAATAATATACTTCTCACTTCTTTCTTTCCTTCAGTTTGTAAGTTTAGTTTAGCATATGACTCCTGGACCTAGAATGGTTAGTCCATATGACATTCTGAGGGAAAAGTCAGATGGTGCGGAACGTGCGTAAAGAGCCATCTACAATGGAGAGTTGTAGGCCGTAACAGTGGTCTAGTTTCCATCGAAACCCTCAATTCGGTTTCACTCCGGTACAGATCAAATTTAATGTTCCGTTTCCATTGGAAGTAGAGTAGCACAGATATCTATACTAAACTAGATTGCTAACATGGCAGTTATTGGGATAGAATGGCGTGTGTCCGATAGAGTTTCCGGTGTATGCGAGAAAATGGCTGCTGCCGCCACATATTTAAAACAGTTATTGCTAGTGATATTCAACAACGTGGTGTAATAATTATTATTTTAATGTAACAAATTATATAAATTGAA